TCAGTAAGTATAAAAGATGAGATCAATCTTCTACCAACGTGTGAAGAGCGAACTCCATCAACATCGACGACATATTCCCTGACTGATATAGTAATATACGTACGTAATCTATTCATCTTTAAGGAACATAGATCAAATATATGATTAATTATGTAATATCACAATTCTTCAGAGGTTAAGTTCGGCACAGTAGAAACCTAGATGTTTACTTACAGGTTTTGCCCAAACACATTTATAGAGACATACCCAAGGCAAAATAAAAAGAGTATGCCTCAGTCTGAGGCATGCTCAAATATTTTTCCGTGTCTCCTATTCTATAATATACTCCAAAAACTAATAAATCAATTATAATACTGATAATTCAAGTAAATTGATATGTACAAATTTTTTTTTCCTACTAAAGAAATTGCATAATGAATATTGTTGTGCTGAAGAATAATTGAATAAAAGGTCATGCATGATCTAGTGTAAAGAATTCCATTCGTTATCGATTATCCCTAAATATTTTTGTTTCGTCTATGTTAATGAGTCTCAACTAACGTTTGCTTCCATGGATATTTTTTCAGCTAACCAGACCAAATCATTTGTGCCTTTTATTCTTTCTAATTCGCTCAAGGCATCATCCAATCCCACTTCCAGTGCTCTACGTTGAACTTCCTTAATTACTTTTTTTCTAGGTGCTAAAATAACACTATTGTCGACAAGCCACTTGTTTCCATATGATTCCATCATCATAACAACTGATGGATTGCCATCAAGTCCGACATTCCACTCATTCCATACATCATAGACTGTATTGAGAGTACTAATAACAGGAAGGCGATAATACCGTGGTCTTGATCCTGCAAATTTACTGTTACCCATACAGCATTCTGAACCACAGGTTGAGGGTGCGTTTGATTCACTAATATTGGATTGAAATGAATTTCCACTATTTTGTAAAACCGATGTTGATGGTCCAGCAGAACATGGATCATTGGAACTCCACATGTATGGGATATTTGTAGGTTGACTACAATGAGACATAGGATCATTATAATGTGACGAATAGTTATGGTACGGAATTGTTGAAGTGTTAGCCATGTATGGTATTGAAGAATTGTTGTTTGAGGTTGATGGAGTATCTTGAAATGAAGATGTAGGGTTAGTGAGTGTACCGTCGTTATATGTTTGTGCAGCAACGGACGTAGAATAATTTGTCGGCTGATAAACGTCTACAATGTTAGGTTGTGGATTATAGTACATCGCATTATTATGAGAATAGTTTGCTGCACCCGTCATAGTTGTTTGATTATGACCTGTAAGCCTTATGTTCGGCGAATTTTGTGTCACTGGATATGAGGCACCTGCAGAATTTGTCTGATGCTGCAAATTATTTTGTGAATGAAAATAATTTGTGGTTCTAGTAACGGGTATGGCTGAATTGATGTTAGTTGAATTTTCGTTATTCTCATTTGGAACTGATTCCGATGTGCTGGAATTGTCACTTGGTGCTATCTCAGTTGTAACATAAGTAGTCGTGTTAGAATTTTGTGGACTGCTAGTGGTGATACTTGTCATAGTGATAGTAATTCTTGAACTAGTGGCAGCAGAGCTAGGATTTTGCACGTTATCCGATTTATTATTATATTGAGGCCTGGTGTTCTGTGGTTGGGTATTTCTTGGTGAATATTGACATGATGATGGCCGTATTGGGTTCGGTTGAGGTACATGAATTTCGGGGCGCATTGGAACTTCGTGAGGTCGTATGTGAATTCCTGATTGACGATTTGGAGAACGGTTTGATGGAAGAGTCTCTTCTTCTGCACTTTCCATAGAATAGTCCTCCTCCACGTATGTAGCATGAGAGCCTATTTTACTCTGCCTCCCTTTTCCTCCTTTAGTACTAATCTCTTCATGACGTTTATCCTGATATGATTTAGTCGATGTTGTCATTTTCCCCATCTTCATCGAGGAATATACAATTAGTCCTTTCGTCAATTTGTAGTATGTGATTATTAACAAACGTTTACCTTTGTACAGTATCTTTTAATACAAAAAAACAAAGAATTGTTTTCGGATAGTTATTGTATGTTAATGTAAAACATAGGAATTACTTAGAAACGCGAATTATAATTCTCAAATTTTGCACTTACCTTTCCGAAACCGATTTTTAGAAACAATGCAAAAATCAAAAATTTCAACGCTCTACGTTTGTTATATCGGCATGGGTTTACTAATTTTACCCCCTATTTTCCTATTGGACGATGATGTTTCTGTCACTGATTGGACGAAAATTGACGATCCCAAATATGTAACGGCAATATTAACGTTAATCATCCAAATTTATTTTCATTTAAAATTTAAAAAAAATTTTACGATTAGGCCACACAAATTTAATATCTTGGTTTTCATAACATGAACCTTTGAAATAGACCCGGCCGGCCGGCTTTTTTTTTTTTTTTAAATTTCATATATAAAAATTTTATATAAAGAACCCACTCGATTATTAAATCATATGGGATCTTTGCTAGGATTTTTTTTTTCTAAAAATAGATTTATTATGTTTTTCTTAATAAAAATCTCGTGTAACAATGTCATTTTGCTAGCAAAGATCCCATATAGAAAATCTTTTTTACAAGTTTTCAAAGTTTGGCCCGTGAAAACCAATTATCGCGCTTTTCAAATTACTGTGATCAGCAAGTTTCATGTATCACACTATCTAAAATAAATGCAAATCTGTGATTGGTTGGAAATAATTTTTAGCCAACCATGTATTTACATTTATTGTCACGGATGATCGTGAAATCGGATGATGGTGAAATTTGGATCTATTTTATGTACGGTTTTTTAAAAATTTTTGGAGCCTTTTTTGTCGGCTTTTTTTTTATAGTTAAGTTAGGATTTAGGGTTAGAGTTATTAG